GATGAAGACAAAAACAAGAAAAAAACCGCTAAACGAAAAAGCGGGAAGTCGCTTCTTTGCTACAATTTTTCTTTGTACAATTAAAACATGTTATATGCGACGAAAGATAAGTTCAATAAATCCCAAAAAACTTCCATTGGCTGTCACAACTTTCACTGTACAACGTATTTTATTCCCTTGCCATAAACCATTGTCCTCATGACATTTAATTAATTTTCTATGGACCCTGTTTTTGTGATAAATTATGGTGCAATTAAAATATAAAGTGAGCCGAAGTACTCGAAATATTTCTTTTCAAATATAGAACTTAATATGGTTCAGTCGAATTATAATTATGTAAAGTATCAACAAAGTGCTTTTGTTTAAATTTTCTAACTAATATTTATATAATTCATTCATTCTGAAAAAAATAATACGTACGTTATTAAAATGCAAAGTTGATTATAAATATAAATTTTTTATTATGGTATTATCAATTCGTAGATATGTATTTAATATTTAGTTTATCTAAAATAACTTCGACAACCAGTGTAACTTCGGCACGACATATATATACTTTACACCCTAGATAACAAAGCAAAAATGAGTTTGTTATTGTGATGACGATGCAGAGAAAGAAAGAACAGAAAAGAAAAAAATGCAACGAAAGGTCGTCAGAAGTGAACCAAACTAGGATCCATCGTCCATGGTTTACCCACTTCAGTTGAAATATCAAAATAATTTTCAATAGATGTCCTCTGTAATCGAGCTGATTCGTGTGAAATTCAATCATTATTTTATATCTCTTTTTTCTTTCCGTTATCATCTTGATAATTTCCTGGAAACCGAATGGCATTAGTTTTGTTGGCTGATATTTTCAGCGCTTAAAATATACAGAAGTTGAATGTAAATACGTAGTCAATGTTTCGAAAAATAGTTCAAAAATATTATTTATTACCTAACTGATCAATTAAGTTTGAGAAACAGAGAGCTCACACGGTGATAATTCTTTTTACGCCGTGCATATATACATTTTTCTCAAGGACGACAGTAATGGTATTTTTGGGTTCTCTAGTTAGGAGATAATTAATGGTATATAAATAAACTATTGATTGTTGAATCAATAGATTTTATTTTCTATTTGTCAATTAAAAATCTTATTAGGTGGCATATTACGGCTCACAAATTTCTAGTGCAGAGTTTTAAGATAACTAACAATCTATCTCAGACTTTGTTGTATTATATTAAGCCAAGCAAATACTTCAATGATTTGACTCAAACTATTAATTGAGCATAGAAATCACTAAGAAACCGAAAATAAATGTAAAATTCAATTCTGTTGATTGTTTTGTGTAGATTGGAGAGCGTGCTCTAACATAAAAGGCTTCCGAAACTGTATTGATTCTTCGATTTAACTTTATTCGGTCTGCGAAAATTGAAGTTGCCGCACTTTACGATTGACACTGACGAGGAAACATCCCCAAAGTGTTCAATCGCTTTTGGATCAACTATATGCTCAAACGATCGAACTCGGTGATTTATTGAACACCCTAGAATAGTTAGGTTTTCTAGCCTTCATTTCTCGAATTATGTGCGTTTCACTCAGTTTTAACCTATGAGCAAAGAATTTTTTAAGAACCTGAGCACTCGAATTTCGAGCTGCAATCACTAGAAACTCCTCAAAGTTTGAGAATGTTTCCTCGTGAGTTGTTCTTTCGATTGATCAACTTCTGAGGTAAGTAATAATTCTAAGAAGACATTTGTTTCACGTAAATCCCATTCGACTATTTAGAATGCAAGCTAAAATAAAAAAGTTGAATCACATAAGCAAAAAAGATGGTCAAATCATTTGAACTTCTAGAAAAGAATTCTCAACTCTATCCATAACTATCCCATAAATTCTGACATTATTGAGCGTGAATCTATAAATCCTACGCGGTATATTTAAGTCAACCGGTTCTTTGATGTTTCAAAAATGATTGTATAATTTCAATTCATCCATTCTGAATCTTTTTCTTAATTTAACACAACACAACTCCTTCAATTTATAGTTTGAGTTGAGTTGGGCCGATCGTTTTGAGTCAAATTGTTCAATTTGCTTATTAAGTTGTTGATAAACTGTCCACTTTTCTGCTGAAGACAATACTTAAGAATTTCGATAAAAATTAATCAACAATTAAAATCTAAAAAATACGAACAAACAATAGTTATTTGTGAGCACTATGTATTTCAGTACTAGCTGTCTTCTTATGTTTCAATTGAGTTGAAGGAAAGAGAAAAGAATCGTGTGGGGTGTTATAAAGCATGAACTTTTTATCTGATTGGCTCGTAACTTCTATATGAAGTAAGCCTGTTGCCTTTGGTTCACATGTTTGGTTAACTTCTGACGACCGCAACGAAATTAGTACACGGTCAGAGCCTAGTGACTCATCGAATCAATAGGAAATAATGCACTTGCGCCATATGTGTGGAATTTTACAGATGGATAGACATTGTAATCTAATTTGTTTTTCAGGCTCAAGTGGCTTTTCCAAGATCATCGTTGATCCCTGACGACAAGGAGTCGTTAATGGCTAAAGGGTATTCCATAAGTTTCGACTACATTTTTATTTTCTTTGCATTTTGACCATGTTTAAAAGATGGACAAATATTGAAAGAGCAACACACAAGCTATCAACCAAGAGGACTTGGACCCAATTTATGCCAACCTCAAAAAAAGTACTGTGTTGCAAAAAACATTGAAAAAATTTCTATCAAAGTCATTTTTTATACGCGACCGAGTTTCATTTTTTCATCTTTAGTGGACCATATCTTCGTAAAGACAAAGGGTGTGGGTGTGGGTGTGGGTGTGGATGGGTGGGTGTGGGCGTGAACGCACAGAAAGCTCACACCTCAAAGTCATATGCACAACCATACTCAAAACCACACCCATAGCCATACTCACTCCCACACCCCACACCCCACACCCACATCCACACCCACACACACCCACCCACACCCACACCCACACCCACACCCACACTCTTGAATTCGAAAAAGTTTGAAAAATTTGAAATAAATTTTCTTGATTACTATCTTCATTAAATTTATCAATAGATTTTATTAATTCTAATCTATTACTCTGATATAAATTTTCATCAAAATCATAATCAAGAAATTCTTTCAATAAAAATGAAAATTTAAGATTATTATCAAATAGTATCAGTTGATTTTCATCAGCTACACGTATCTTATTTGAAAGATTCAAAAGATTTTCTTTTATTTCACTTTTATTTTCTACAAAATTTAATGTTTTTCTTACCCATATTAACCAATAATGTCTTAAACATTCTCTTTCTATACCTTTACAAAATTCTATTAATAAATCTAAAGCCGAAGTGTTTTCTAATGATTTCAATTCAGGTAAAATTTCATAAAATGTTTGTTTTTGTTTTTTAATAAATTTTAAATTTTGGAAAGTAAAATTTCCTTGTTGTAAATTGTATAGATAAATATTCGTAAAATTTGAAATATGATTTTTATCAATTTCTTCTAGAATATTTTGAGCAAGCATTTTTTCTAATTCGGAAAGAAAATGACAATTAATTTTTAAAAGAGATTGTTCATCTGGTTCTTTATTAAATTTTTCAAGAATCTCCTTTTGAATGATATTATTTTCAATTGGGAATTTTTTCCATTCTTGTTTAGAAATTTCTTTCTGAAAAATATTAATATTCTGCCTATTTAAAATCGATTTCGAAAGTTTTTGTTCTCGATTATCAATAAGTACATCTGTACGTCTTCGTGATGCAATAAGACATTGATTAAAACGTTGTTCATTAATAATTCTGTGAAGTGTACTTCTCATTTTTGCAATTTCCATACTTCGAATTTCTAATCCTGTTGCTAATTGATTAACATCTACTTTTTGAATTTCTTTTTGTAATTGTTGATAAACTATTTGATATTGTTCTAAAAATTCATTATATTGATTTGATATTTCTTGTCCTAGTAAATTTATTCCAATACTCATTTGTTCTGTATCAATTTTTTCTGAATTTAATCGTTGATTTTCTATATTAATAGTTTCAGTAAATTTTTCTTTTAAAATTAAAATCTGTTTCGCATCATATTCAATATCAGGAAGTGCATAGGTTTCACTAGGTGGTAAACCTTCTAATCTAGCGAGTTTTTCTAAGAATTCATTTTGATCTGGAGCTAACCAATGTTGATACGATAATTTTTGAGGATTATTTAATTTACTAAAAAACTGTGAAGTTACTTGAAAAACATGTTGACTATTAATAGCATGAATTTTTTGTACAATTTCTTGATTTTGATGTTTCTGAGCCTTATTAGCTCCTCTATGTGCATATTTATCGTCATATTTGTTTTTAAATCTAGGATTATGTTCATTATCGTCAAACGGAAGCATCGAGAAATTTTTACGCTCTTGTGTCTCAATATCATTATGCCTATGATGAGAACTAAGGCGACCTCCTTTTACCTTATCTACTTCTCGACTAAATACCCATCTCCACTTGTATGTAACGACATAATCTAGACCATCTCTACCATGTTTACCTGCTTCACCCAGCTTTCCTGGCCTACCATCATCACTTCCTGAGTCTCCTGGTCGATTGTCATATTGAAATTCTTGTAAACTATTATTTAAAGCAATAAGTCTTACTAATCCAGGATTACCTCCATCACCACGAAATCCTCCTGAACCAGCATCTCCCCCTGAACTACCAGGCTCACCATCAGTACCAATTCCACGTATGCGAAGTGCAGACCAAGATTGCCAAAAATTGTACTTCACTTTATCTATTAAAGCCTGTTTATCAGCATCCTTCCCATCTTTCCCATCTAAACCAGATATTCCATCTCCTCCATCTTGTCCTCATCCTCCTTTTCCACCACAAGCTGACACATCAATCTCTGGTAATTCATTCGCAACTATATAAACATGTCCGGCACTTTTTCCGGGTTTACCATCAGATCCATCTTTTCCTTTCTCTCCTTTACAATGCCCACTTTTTGCTGGGCTATCTTTCCAAATATCTTTTGCATTTTCTCCATCTGTACAAATCTTTAATTTTTTTTTATTTTCAACTAATTCTTGATATGGACTAACTAAAACAATATTTACTCCAGAATATTCTGAACTACATAAATCAGTATCAATATAAAATTTATTAGAATTAATAATTCTTATTTCATTATTAGGACGAAAACAATCTGGAAATTGAGTTTGAAGACGATCTAAAATTTTACTAAGAATTCCTGAAGTTGTTGTAATTTCAAAAATAATATATTCATTTTCTTGATAAGTTTTAATTTGATACCAATTTATGTAACTATTTAATATATTCTTAGTATTATTTATTTTTTCTTTAAAATAAGGTTTAAGGGTATGATTAGCTTCATTTAACATTTCTTTTATTACCGAAACACATTCTTCAAATTCTCCGTTTAGAATGTTTACGAAGTTTTTATATAAATTTAAAGAACGATTATAATAAGTACTATTTGCATCATCAGGAAGTTTGTTAAATTCGTCTAATATTTGCTTCAAAGAATTTCTTAAATTTTCGTTATGAATAACACCATAAGTCGATAATAAATCATTTAATTTTTTTTCAAAATGATTAAAAGCAAGTAAAGCCTTATGACGATATGTTAATAAACTTGTTGTATAATTTTCTATTGTATCAATAATACATTGTCTTAAACATTGACTTATTTCTGTGCTAGCTTTTTCATCGTTATCTATTACAAATCCTTTACATTTTTGAACAATATCAGTTAATTCTTTATTATTAAAATTTTGAATAACTTTTTCAATATCATTAAAA